ACTGATCCCTCTTCACAATATCGTCCCATTGGACAAATATTGCCAGTGACCCCATCAGTTGGAGTTGGAGTTTCAGCACGTCCAGCACAGTAATAACCAGCATAGCACACAGCTGTTGGGGCAGTTAAACCAGCTTCCTCACAATAATAACCAGCTGTGCAATCAGTACACTCATTTTGACTGGCCAGATTGCTCTGATTGGAGAATGTTCCAATTTCACATTTATTTTGTTCTGCATATTCAGTGCCAATAGGGCAATAGTGTCCTGGTATACAGTCCATTGGAACAATAACTCCAGTTATGTTTCCATATTCATAAGGATCACAGTAAAATCCACTTAAACATGATTCACATGAAGGTTGGCCTTCTGTTGGTTGATATTCTCCTCTTGGACATATTAAAGGTTGTGGACTTCCTACTGGGCAGAAGAAACCCTTTGGACAAACATACTCTGTTGGTGTCTTAGTGTTTTGTCCCCCAGGGCAATAGTAACCAGCATCACAAGGACCAGTTGGTTCAGATAGACGCTCTCCTTCGCAATACATCCAGGAGTACAGGACAAACAGTTTGCTAATTCAGTGTTGTGTGTTGTATTTGAGAAAGTACCATTCGGACAAGCTGTAGGCACTGCGGTTCCAACTTCACAATAGTGGCCAACAGGGCAGTTATACTGAGTTGGATCTGGCCTGATATCAATGCCAGGGCAGTAAAATCCTGCTGAACACTCTGCTTTGGGTTCTGCTAGCTCATAATCATCACAGTACCAACCACCTTCACACTCCACAGGGAAGGAGGATCCCACAGGACAGTAATATCCAGGCGGACAACGATTACCAGTATAATCAATATTAGGGCAGGTACACATTGAAATATCAGTCGCATTTCCTAAAGGTAATGGTCTAGAGTTCCAAGATCCACCAGTACAGAACCAACCAGCACTGCAATTACCCGTAGGTGCCTCAAGTCCATCTCCCTCACAGTAGAGTCCTGGTGGACACAGCAAACATGAGGTGCTGTTTTGTTGGCCTTCAAGCCTGTTGTATGTCCCTCTGGACATGGATACTCTATGCTGTATTCAGTTCCTATAGGACAGTAGTGACCAACTGGGCATGGGTAGATGGTAGGATCACTTGTATTTCCTGGACAATAGTGCCCAGCTAGGCAAGGTGTGCACGAACTCTCACCTTCAACGATGGTGTAGGTACCAGCTGGACAGGGTATAGGTGTTGGTGTATTGGAAGGGCAGTATGTACCTGGTGGGCAGACTCCACCCACACCTGTGTGGCCATCAGTGGCAGTTGGAGTGGCTGTGTTGACACCAAGTTCACAATAATGGCCAGCATTACAGGGGCCATTAGGCGCAGGAGATCCAGGAATACTGCACTGTTGTCCACCAGTGCAGTCTGTGCAGTCTGATTCCTGAATTAAACTAGTAGTAGCCCCATATGTGCCAACTGGACACATTTGAGTGTCCCAACCAGTACCCTCAGGGCAATAGTCTCCCTGTGGGCATCTTTCTGCATGGCCTTGTGTACAAAAGTATCCCGCTGGGCAAATGTCACACACAGAAGCACCAGTATGATTCATAAAAGTTCCATTTGGACACGCTGATGGCCAAGCAGAACCCTCCTCACAATAATGACCTTCCCAGCATATATTTCCTGTGATTCCATCTTGAGGTGTACTTGTATTTGCACCAATAATACAATAGAATCCAGCTTGACAAAGACCAGTCACGTTGGTTTGCCCAGATGACTCACAATAGTAACCACCAGTACAATACAAACAGTCATCAACTGCATCCATTCCTGCTGAGGGTAGGAATGTCCCAGAAGGACATGTCACTGGGTAGTCAGTGCCATTTGGACAGTAGTAACCAGCCCAGCAGACATCGCCATAGACTTGACTGATAGGATTTGGTTCTTCTGAGGCAAGGGTACAATAGAAACCAGCCCAGCATAGTCCAGACTCTTTTGTAAGACCAGTCTGTCCACAGTAATAACCTCCGGTACAGTCACTGCATTCAGCAGCACTTTGCAGACTTAACTGATCACTGTATGTACCCATTGGACACCCCACACCAGTGATGCTCCCTATTTCACAGTACTTTCCTGCTGGACAAATATTACCAGTCACAGCATCGGTTGGAGTAGAGTTATAGGCACCACTTGTACAATAATAACCAGCTGTACAATCACCACTTGGTTCAATATTTCCTTCTCCTTGACAGAACATCCCTGGGGTACATGGCGTACATTGACCAGCATTATAAAGGCCAGTCATGTTACTGTAGGTACCTGCTGGGCATAAATATTCTCTCTCGTATGTAGTACCTTCTGGGCAGTATGAGCCTTCAGGACAGATGATCGGAACAGCCACACCTCTGTAACTTCGGTATCTTCCACTGAAGTTGCCAGCAAGTGTCATATTTCTGCATCCTAAGTCTTCATAGTCGCCAAACGCTTTACAATAGAAACCTTGCGGGCATATATCACAGTTTGATCTGCTCCAGTGTGGTTGGTAATATCCACTGGGGCATCCAGTCTGGTTCCAGCTACCTTCAAAACAGAAGTGCCCAGGACTACATGCCAGATCCACAGGTTGAATTGATGCCTGACCCCCTGGACAGAAATACCCGGCAGCACAGAGACCACTTGGGGCAGCAAGACCATATTGTTCACAATAAGAACCAGGAGTACATTCCTCACAGTCTGTAATATTAACATTGTATTCCTTTCCAGAGAATGTTCCAGGTGGACATGGCTCCTCAATTTCAGTTCCTTCAGGACAGTAATAACCAGCTGAGCATGGTTCTGGGTCTCGTACAATTGAACTACCATTACAGAAGTAACCAGCAAGACACAGACCACTTGGTGCGGCTAATGCATGTACCTCGCAGTATTGACCA